TACTCCTTTTCCATCAAGAGCCCTCTTCATATCAGACACCCTGCCTTTACATCTGGAACCCCCTTCACATCTGAAGTCTTCTTGCACCATGGAAAGGCATGATGCTGTGCAAACATTTTGAGGCACCCCTGAAGTAGCCAGTAGGCACCCCAAAAACTGACACATTCCCATATCTGTCCAATAGCTACATACAGCACTTTAGGATACCTGCCTTCTGCTTAAATAATGTTGCTTTACCCATATCAGTGTATTTTTTATTGTACAGTCCTATTAATAAACGTCTGCCTATTACTATAATAGCATGCTAATGTTCAGTTTCAGATTATTAGCCCATGTATTTTGATGCAGGAGCATCAGTACAAATGTTCTTGTAACATGGGCCACTAATAAAAGCATCAAGGAGTAGTCTGTTTATGATTTTTTAGAGTCGCTGTAAGAATACATAAAACCTAAACGTATTTTATCCTAAACTAAAAAGTGAACTGTAACACCTGATCTTCAGTCGAACCCTAAACCTCAGCTTAAAGTAGCACAAATACAAAGGGGTCTATTCACGAAGCTGCCGAAGGATCTGGCCGTAGCTTCGGCCGATCCTTCAGCTAGCTTCGGCCCCAGGACCCCTTCGGTTCAGTAGTATTCACAATAGCCTGTACAGCTCCCGATCATGGCCGAGCGGCTCAGCCGAGCCGAACGCATATGCAACGGCTCGGCTGAGCCGTGCTGAAAGCCGAAGCTGACTCACTGCTTTTCGGCATCTTTAAGAATAGCCCGCACAGCAGTGAGAAGCCTGCCGGAGGTTTGGCTCAGCCGATCCAGATGTTGGATCGGCTGAGTCGAACTCCTTCTGCACTTCGGGGACGGCCGAACATGCTGAGCATGTTCGGCCGACCCGAAGCCACGCGTAGCAAGCCGATGTACGGCTGATTTCAGCCGATGTACGGCTGATATCAGCCGTACCAGCCTGAAGTGAATAGCCGAACAGTGTTCGGCTCACTTCACTTCAGATCGGTCATTCACTCGGCTGCCCTCGGTAGCTTAGTGAATAGACCCCTAAAACGTTTTCTTTTTTGGGAGGGAAGGAGGTTGGATAGAATAAGAGAGAGTATAACCCCTGACAGCTAAGTTTTTTTGCCATCTGTGTCCCATTGGGGAGGTTAACTTTGACTTCCTGTCCAAAAGTCAGAACAAGAAGTGAGAGAACATCACTCCAAAGGGAGGAAAATCCCCGGTGGTAAGCAGAGTCACAAGAGTCCCCCCTATTCCTGTTATGATGCCAACCCAAAATGTTAGCTTTTCTTTCACTTCCAGTGATAACGGTCACCAGGACAAAGAAAAAGAGAGGGTGACTCTCCCTGTTGGGGGCCCACACACAACAATAAAAACCTGACAGGTGTTCTATCCAAAACTAAAAAAAAAGTGTTGGCTTCATCTGCACTTTAACACCTAACCCTAATGCTGGCAGTATAATATTCAATTTTGTGGCAATTTGAACCACTTTCAATTGCAAAAACCAGTGAATCTAGGAGGGCAACCTACCATCAGAGGTTTGGGACATTTGCCTTAATCCATTTGGTAATTTGTGTGATTGAAAGTAATCGAAATGTATACAAAACTACCTAAATGCATGGCCAGCATACCCCTAACCCTACATTTCAACCTGGATTTCTAACATTGGAACAAAAACACCCTTTGTATGACGTAGGGTGTGATATGTAATAAAGCACATATCTCAGGATCAAAACTAAAGGAGCTGTAATAATAAAATTTAGGTGATATCACTAGCTGTTCTCCCTGTAGAAAACAGATTGTTAACTCTTACTTTATGAGATAAATCCCTGCTGAAAATTGTGACATGTTCTGCACTAAAGCAAGCAGTGCTCTAATTAAATGTACACAGCTCCATACGTGAATCATAAATCCGTGTAATCACACCTGGTGCCTATCTTACCCACCATCAGTGCTCTCCATGAATGAACTTGTGAACCTTTATTACTACCCACTTATCAACTCAAGAACCAGAGTTGTCACCCCGTCACGCATGTTATTCTCCAAAATATTACTAATAAGTGAAAACAAATCTAAGATATTGTTTGGTGTTACGCAACCTTCTCCACAGAACTGCAGTTAGTTTCCATGGGAATAACATTCACAAGAAAGTTGTGTAGTGATGCAGTGGTAACCACGGGTGCAAATAACCATATAATTCAAGTTAATTGCATTTACCTCTAACAACCATCCAATTATATTATGCAAACTGCAGGCAGGTGCAGGACAATTGTGACAACATCTGTTTGTAGCAACACAACCGGCTATTATGTTGTCTCATTGTTACATAAGGTATGCGATGAGGTATATAGATGTGGGGTCATCCTAAGGGGAACATTTTAGATAGTAAGCTCTCACGGGCAGGACCCTCCTTACCATCTTGTCTTGATTTGTAATGTCCTCCTTTTATTGTTGGCGCTATATAAATCCTGTATAATGATAATAATAACAACTAAATCTTAGTATGTTTTACATAATTGCTGTGCTATCTTTTTATGATTATATTTTTTCTAGTGGTTATCAGAAAGTGCAGTGACTATCTTTGCCGAATGACTGCCGCAGAAGAGTAGTTGCAGGATAGGCTACCAAGAACGTGGGGGAGTCTGAGTTGATGAGGGAGGCCTCTCTAGCAGCTCTTGTCTGAGAACCCCTGGGAATAGAATAGGTGTGCAAGGATAAGAGTGGCACGAGTGCCGGTAAGAAGTGAAGCCCAAGACTAGCCAGATCACCAACGGTCTGGCAACGAGGTTCAGGAACAGCAGGCAAAATGTAGTAGTGAACAGGCCGAGTCAGCAACTTGCGGAGAGCGAAATACAAAGCAGCAGACAGTAATGTGGTCAGTGCTGAGCCGAGATCAAGGAATCCAGAAGAGCAGAGGGAAGGATAAGCAAGCCGGGTCGGTAACAGATCAAGTCGAGATGCAGAATACGGGGCACAAGCGCAGGGAACAGCTGAAGACCAGTCAGCATTGGAAGCAAGAATGTCACAGCCTTAAATACCCTGTTTGGCACCAAAGTCTGCAACAGGCCTGTGCACATGTCCATGTACATGCTGTGAGAGGTGCGCAAAGATGTCTGCGCAGAGGTGCGTGGCAGTACACAGTTCTATGAACCAAACTATGCCCACATGCCCAGAACCATGGGTGCAAGGGCTGGTCCTGGCTTACTGACAGCCAGGTTGTGACCTCACTTTTCACCACAGTCATTAGGTGATACAGTTTGTTCACCGGACCATCACCTGTTTGCTGATTGAACACTGAAGTAATATAAAAACATTAAAAAGGTCATCATTCCGCTTAGTATGTGCTCTCTTTCTGCAAACTTTAAAGGAGAACTATGAGGTGAGTGCTTTTCACTCACCTCGTAGTTCTAGCCGACCTGTGACAATGAAACTGTCACAGGTTGGCTCAGTAGATCGGGAGGTGAGCGAACACATACCGGCGTTCGCTCACTTCTCGATCTTGTCACAGCTCTCTGCCGTGACAGGGGAGGGGCTGGATTCCCCCTCCCACTCCGATCCGCCAGCGCTGACTGGCGGATCGGACGGGGGAGGGGGCGGGTACAGCTGGCTCTGCCTCTAGATAGGCAGAGCAAGCTGTCACTCACGCAGCTGGGCTGATCCAGACATAATTGTCGGGATCCGCTTCAGCTGCGGCGTCTCAGTATACTGAGAGCTGTAGCTCGCGGTATACTGAGCTTAGGGTGACGGGAGGACGCTAGTTTGTGTCCTCCCGTTATCCTAAGGCGAACTATGGGGAAAAGCCCTAACCCCATAGTTCTCCTTTAAGGGCTAGTTCACACCAAGCGCGTTCCAGGAGCAGAGCAGTTACAGAACGGATCAAAACTGCGTCCAATATATTCCAATGGTATTTTGGGCTTGAGTTCACACCGCAGCGTTCAGTTCCAGAGCATATAAAAAAACTGCGGCAAGCCCTATTTTACCTGTTAAGGAAACGCATGCAAACGCATCAAAAATGCATGCAAACGCCCTGGAACGCACAGAAAGCCCATCTTAGACTAAAACATTTTTAAAAAAATTTTTGTTACAAAAACGGCCCGGAACGCATCAAAAACACGGCAAAAAACGCGGCAGAATGCACTGCACTGCGTGTGCAGAAACTCATGCAGCTCTGGTCTGCATTAGGTGTCAACAAGCCCTAAGTGCATCCTGCTGTGCAGGGGTACAGAAAGCTAATATAAAGACAATAATTAGACATTTATATTAGCTACATATATAATGCATTTAAATGGTTGGGGTTAAATTGTCTACCTTTTTATTTAAATTGTATAAGCATTTTATTTTATTTTTTTTAAATCTTTATTTGGCAAAGAAAACAAATTGAATACACTACTGTCATAGAGCATAATGCTAAGGAGTCAGAACAGCAGAAGCTACTTACTTTTAGACTCTCTGCCTAACTGAAGGTCTGCACGGTGCCCTCTGAGCAGAACTGACAGGTAGGGAGATGGATAAACTATTTCTCTGACTCAATGATGCTGATTTACTAAAGTAATTGAGAATGTTTACTCAAAAAAATAGTGAAGACCCACTTCAATTGCTCAATCATGTGACAGTACAATAGGGTCAGTCTGGTAAACCTATACAAATGTACCTAGAGATCCACCTTCTGGCTAGAAATGTTAATGTGAAATCTTCATATTCATCAGAAACCAAAAAAGAAAAATTTTAAGACATTTATTTGCATCCCTGAATATAAAAAGAAAGCACATACTAAACACTATACATTCCCAGTAATCATAACTGAATCAAATAGGGAATCCATTACTATGCTACAAATAGACATGTTGCTTTGATGAGGTACAGAGCTGCGTTATGGAATAAATCCTTTTATTGAATAGTACAGTGCAGTCTTATTTGGTCTGCTGGTTAAAACATCACTGTAACAGATTATGCGTTTATATTTAAAAGCTGTGTTTTATTTGATGCATTTTTAGGAGCCGGATCCAGGCTGGAAAATGAACCCAAGCCAGTTCTTGCCAGACATAAGCACCGCACACCACACATATGAAGGTAATCCATCTTTGAATACTATTCTATAAAATGAAAGCTGACTTTTGGCTTAGGGCAGTGGTTCTCAACCTGTTTAACCTCAGGACCCACATTTGTCCTTGATCATTAACCTCTCGCCGTCCGCTCGTTAAGAAAAAACGGACGGACGGCAGACTCACATCAGCGGGTTGCCGTCGCGAGACGACATTTTTTTTACTGCTCGAGCGCGCCCCCTAGCACGCGCGCACGGGCAGGAAAGATCCGCTCGGGAGGGCGTCAGGAGAAGGAGGTAGGGAGATCAGCTCCTTGCTGTTCTCCCTCTGTAGTGTGAATGCAAACAGAGCTGAATACTAAAAAATGGCCTGGATGGGAAGGGGGTTTAACACCCCAGATGTCAACTGGTTAAGTTGTGACCCAGTTGCACTGCAATGGAATGCACGGCAGTGTGGGCTGCTGTGCTGTGACGGAGCTCCATCCATATGGGCATTGCTTGTACAGCTCCCATGCGCGCCTGTAGAGGTGTCGGGAGCCAGAATGTGATTTCAATCCGGTCCAGGCACCTCTACAGGACATGCGAGGAAGCTAGTAGCATTACACGCATGGATGCAGCTCCCTCGCGACCATACCCCCAGCCCACCCTACCTCAAGTCAACACTCAGAGCTGGGCAGCATATTTTGAATGGCTGCTCAGTGTAAGAATGGACAGTGCTGAGCTAGGGGGAGGCTAGGGAGCCTCTCACCTAGAAAAGTGGAAGGCATGCAGCGACCCACTGAACATGGGTAGTCCATGGTCCCATCGCACTCCTGACCGCGTGAATCCCTTCAAGAATTGGGTGCTGCGGTAGTCAACGGGTGGCAGCCGTAACAATCATGAGCTAAAGCAGAGACACCGGCACTCCAAATTTGCTAAATACATCTACCCTTCATCAGGTAAAACATATGTTTTACCTGATGAAGGGGATCCTTTGTGACCCCGAAACGTTTGTTGTTTTTTACCACGATGCACGTCAATAAATAGACGTATTTTGCATATATGGAGTGCCGGTGTTTAGCCCACTGAACATGGGGTCGCGACCCACTTTTATGTCCCGACCCACCAGTTGAGAACTAAGGGCAAGGGGAATACTTTCCACTGTTTGGGTGAGAATGGGCATGAAAGAAGGATTTGCATTTCTAACTAGTCTTACAAACTTTATTCTATTGTCCATGTTTTCTTTTTTTGCAGGTGTTTGGCAAAATCGGGATGAGTCCTGGAATCTTCACCAGACACATGACTCTGAGCTTATAAAAGAAGACAAGAGGAATGAAGTGGAAGAAGAGATTAGGATACAGGTTTGGCTGAAGTTTGCTTCTGTAATCATAAATACTTGTCACCTGAGAATAAACTTGGACATTCTGTGAATGCTCTAAAACCCAGATCTTGGCACCCTACCACCCAGCATTACAATGATTGAGGATCATGGTTCCTGCTTTGCATTCCTTGTTATGTACACATATTAAAAAGCATCCGTATCTTCCTTGCTGTTTTTTAAACCTCCTTACTCATGCACATAGAAATTAGATTGACCTTTTTCAGTAATTTAACCACTTGAAGACCCACCCGGTTGTTAAACCCCCTTCCTGTCCAGGCCATTTTTCACTCTACAGCGATGCGGTACTTTGCAATGCCGTACCGAAATTAATTTTACATAATTTTGGGGGGACAAATTGAGCTTTCTTTTAGAGGTAATCTTCACTGGGGGTTTTTATTTCTTGCTATATAAAAAAAAAAAAAGTAGCGAAAATTAAAAAAAAAAAAAAACGTTTTCCCTACATTATGTTATGGAAAACATTAACAGGGTTATTCACAAAAGGGTGAAGAGTTTGGAGAAGGCAGGAGAAGTGAGCAATCTAGGACAAAATAGCTGATTTGGAAAAATTCTCCAATTCTGCTCATTTTCCAGTTCAGCTATGTTGTCCTAGATTGTTCACTTCTCCGGCCTTCTCCAAACTCTTTACCCTTTAGTGAATAACCCTGTTATTGTTACTCAATTTTTTTGATAAAACATCAGCTAAATGTTCACCAAACATTCAAGCCTTAAAATTGTGTGTGCCCACGAAATCCTGAAAAACTACCATTCCCAAAATTGGCCATAGGCGACGCTTTAAAATCATTTACTACTTCAACAGCTTTACTGTTAGTGTTAACAGTGATTGATGGCCTTAGATTTATTGCTCGCACTCCAAAGTTTGCGGTGATATGTAATGTGCTGCACAATCGTAACTTTTGCATGTAGGCACAACCGATGCATGTTTGTGTATGCATGTGTGTGTACATAGGAGCGGAGGACTATAAACATTTTTTACGTGTTGTTATACATTTTTTTAGATGTGACTTTCATTTTTATAATTTGTTTTTACACTTAACTTTATTACTATTACATAGGGGGCTAATAACCCCCCTATGTGATAGCAAATATAGAGTGACAGGTCCTCTTTATGGAGACATTAAGGGTCTATTAGACCCCTAATGTCACCTAGGGACCCCCAAAGAAGCTGATAAAGCATATCTACTTCACCATGCTTTTTTTCTGGCTACCAGTTCAGAGAACCACTGTGCCGGTCCAGGGCCTGCACGGGAGACAGTGGAGCCTGGGATAGCCGCCAGCTGGGGGGCACACACTTGCAGGCAAAACATGAATTAGATTGTGTGGCTCTATAGCCGCCGGAATGCTTGTATGTAAACAGCCATCACCGAATGAACTGAATACATTTTCCTACCCAGGAACGAGCAGGGGCGGGAAAGGACTTAAATAACGCCCACCCACATTCAAGAGTGTTAATATTCAAGGGGTTAATATTCAACAGCATGAGCTCATATTTCATGTATGAACAGGGAACCCTCTATTTCCCCCTGTGATATATCTATCTATCTATATAATGATAGGTTGATGAGTTGATGAGACAAGAATTGCAGAACCTGAAACTGTCTGTGGACAGAGACAAGAGCAAGAAGAAAAAAGGAAAGGTAAGTGACAAGACTAATGCTTATAAAGGGCTTGTGTCTTTTCAGTCTCACTTAGAGGCAGTGGCCTCCTTCATAATAAGGGGTCTATTTATAAACATTTCGCACAGCAAACCATCCTGTGAATCTCTGTGAGAATCCATTCCATATGAAAACAGGCAAACATTTAAATTCTCAGCATATGTTCTTTTCAGGTTAAATGTAATGTAATGTAATACGGCACTATGTCCACCAGATGGAGCCGAGGAACATAGGAAATAAGTATTTATTTAGTGGCCAAAATGTGATATTACATTACATCACATTCAACCTGAAAAGAAAATATACCAAGAACTTATGTTTTTGCCACTATTTGCACAAAGTGAATGTTCATAGAGATTTGCAGGGTGAATGGCCCTGTGAATTGTTTATAAATAGACCCCCAAAGTGTCTGTTTTCTCGTTTTTAATTTCAGACATTACAAATATATTTTTCATTCTTCCAGTTTTCTACAAGAGAATGCAATTGTATACATGAGCTCTTTTTAAAGTGCATGTACAGCCAAAACCTCTTTTTTTGAAAGGGAGCATTTAAAAGCCCTTTTTTTTTGGTGTTTTTTTTTTTTTTTAATTTCTGTCTACTGTCTTCCCTCTCCTTCCTGTCCTGGAGGTGAGAGTGAAGAGGACATTTCTTGAAAAACAGTCGTCATTGAAATAGATGTCCCTGTTGGAAGAATTCCCTTCACCTACTGTTCTGACAACAAGTGTAAAATGTAACACATCCTATTACTGTATGTTACAGCGACAAAAAGAGCAGAGACAGCAATAACAACTTAACAGAGATTCTAAACCTTTTTGGGTTTTTTTGCCATTTGTGTCCCATAGGGGAGATTTCCCTTCACTTCCAATCCGATAGCTACAACAGGAAGTGAGAGGAAATACTTTTATAGTGAGAGAAATCCCTGGTTGTCACCCTGGTTGTCACTGGGGTCAGTAGAACTAGTGTCCCCATTGGAAGGTTTCCCACTATTCTTGTTCCAGTGACAACTTAATTTTGGGGAATTTCTTTAACTTTCTCTCTTGGCCATAACAGACACCAGGACAAAAATTGAGGATGAATCTCCCCTACGAAGACACAGACAGCCACAAAAACCTAACAGAGGCTCAAATTCCTCTCAAAACTATCTAGAAATAAAAAGTAAAGAATTGGCCTTAGTTCTACTTTAACAGTGAATTTTGCATGCCAGTTTAGTTTTTGTTTTCAACACCTTAACTTAAAAAAATATTCTAATAATAGAAAAAGAAGAAAGGGAAGAAAAGTGGTAAAAGAAAGAAAAAGAAGGAAAAAGATCTAACTCCCGACAGGTATGTTCTAATATATTATTGTAATATAATTTTGTAGTATAGTAATCTTGCATCAGCCGCTGTCTCTCATTTTCAAATCTTACCTGAGCAAACTGAAGAGAGATGCTGATTGGTTGTCATGGGCAACTGCTCCAGATTCTGTTTGCTCCAGTTTTGATAAATTTCCCCCAGTGTGTTTTGGGGAGCATGCAACTTGCATTAAGGATTTATCTGTAATCCTTCTAATTTCCTTCAAATGTGCCTATAATGTATTTGATCTCCTTCTAAACTGTATAGAGAAGAGAGCAGCTCTGACACATACAAAAGCCTGTCTCCAAAATCCCTACACAAGATCATTGTTTGCTAGACTTATTCTAATTTGTTGTACTTTTTTTGCATGTCCAGTTTTTCATTTTAAAATAACTGAACAGTTGTACATCATACAAATGTAATGTGCCCAGAAGCAACATTTGAATCTTACCTGGTGCTCAGTTATGGCTGTTTTACACATTTATAGCCTTTCTGGCAGGGGATGTATCACTATTCAGTTCTATACAATTGAATGTTCATGCAAAACAGAGTTCTCAATTCTGGCTAGTGATGTCTTATGTCTGTGGTAAATAGTCAGAAATATAACATTCTTTTTTGTGTCTCACACAGGACCATTGATTCCCTATATGAGGAGTTGGTTACAGAAGGTCTTCTCATAAAATCAAAGCCTGTCAAGATGTCAGACTTTATAGGTAAAGCATAGAGGTTCAGACATTAGTTCTCCTAATATGGACTTTAAGGGGCTGATTTTTAAAGTGTTCGCCCAGCATATAGCTGTGAAAGTGAGATTTGCAACACATTACTGCCACTAGTTTGAGCGAGGAGCATAGGGAATTCCTATTCTCCTCGGCTCCATCTAGTGGCAGTAATGTGCTGCAAACGATGTTCACACAGCTATACACATGGGTGAGCATGTTATAATTCAACCCATAAGTATGTCAGGGTAAAATTTAAAAAAAGACATGTTTAGTACATCTCTCCAATATATACACGCTTTCCCGTGTTTTATCCCTTTAAAAATGCTGTAAGCACTGAAAACTACCCCTTGATCTGCAAGAGGTCCAGTATGTTCTTAACTTCCTATTTGGACTGCCAACAAAGGGGGGAATTTATTAAAACTGGATCATACAGAATCTGGAGCAGTTGCCCATAGTAACCAATCAGCTTATCTCTTCAGTTTGCTCAGTTAAGCCTTTAAAATGAATGATAGAATCTGATTGGTTGCCATGGGCAACTGATCCAGTTTGGATAAATCCCCCTCAGTGCCTTTTCTGAACTAAAATGCCAACTATTATTGTTAGCCCTGAACTACAGAACTTCATGTATTCCCATGCCTATCTGTCCCACTCTACATGCATGCATTGATTTCTCTTCCAGCAAAACAATGCTGCTGTCTTGATTCCCAAGAGAATGCCTACACACTGTAGGGTAGATTTGGGTAATGTTGTAGGCACTCACTTTAAGCCCAGCTAAAGCCAAAAATACTGTAAATACATTGGTCAAACTTTCATTGTTATTAGTGACCATGTTGGGGATATTTCAACTCATGTACAGGGATCCCCGGACAGGGAGACACAAACAACAATAATAACCTGAAAGAGGTACCAACCCTTCCTCATGTACTATAAAAAATCTGTTGTTTCTTGCAATTAGTGCACTGGATATTTTTCTCCTGCCTGTAGGGGCAGAAAGTCAGGAAGCTTTTTCCAATGGGGCCATAGACCATGGTAAAGATCTGATAGAGGTTCCCATTAATTCATTGTTCTATCCTAAACTAAAAAAAGAAGGTTTGCTTGGAGTTGGGCTTAATCTGCCAGCCATCTTATACCTTTAAAAGTATAAACATCTCAAGATGCCGGTAATTACCTTATATAGCCAGGAAATTCTCCTCTGTTGACCTCACTGTTTTAGTATTTATTGGTTACTAAGGGCCTGACCTACTTGACTTATAAGCTAAGTCCTGCTCACCTGTCATCTCTACCTGTCCAGTAAGAGTTCTTAAATTAACCCTGTCGCTAGACAAGTAAAGGATGTAAAATAATATTAATACTTACCAGTTCTGCCTTAGGCATGATAGGTTTTCCAAATGACAGGTTTGCTTCAATAGCATATTTAATATGATTATATAGAGAGCAATGATCTGCTGTATTTTACAGGAACCAACCATATGATAGATTTCAGCATTTTAGAGTAATCACAATCAATCAATTATAAAGTGTGATTTTTAATTTGCTGTTATGGTTTGGCACATTTTTCCAGTAGTCTTTTGCCGTAAATAAATTAATTTCATCGATTTAACCAGTTTAGTTGCGCTAGGATAAATAGTGTTAAGTCACCAGCTGCAGCAATGTATACAAACGTGATCAATGTGAGCCAGTATGTTTAATTTATTTATTTAATTTATTTTTCACTCATTTTTAAGTAATAAGAATCACGACACGAGTATCACCACCTTTAAAATGTGTCATCTATAAACAAATTAATTTCATCAGCTTGGATATCATTGTTTGATTTGGGTATCGACACATTCATGTTGTAGAGCTGTTTGTTAATCCTCTTGTGTATATTATGCAGCTGAATACAGTTATTTGGGCACCACCCTACGCCAGGCTGACATAGAGCCGATGCCGTCCCTTAGTGATGTCAAGCAGCTTCTAGTCTTGTACGGAGTCCTGCCTTTAGGTAAGTTCGGATTACACCCATATGTTAAATGGTGTATTGTTAGTCATTGTTTTTCATACAGTACAGGATGGAGTACATGGACAAGATGTACTTGGCACTTGCACATAGAAGACGCATTAAATGAAAGCAGTACAGTGAAAGTAAATATTAAACAGTTGATAAATCAGCAGATGAAATCCACTTTCTTGCCTTCCTTTGTTAAAACCAAATATTAACGGAAAAGTTGTTAGCTGATGGTCTTTTTCTTATGAAAGTTTGTCCATTCTGAAAAGTACATGACTTGAATTAAACCATAATATCACATTATAAATAACACTACTAAGTATCGGGTGGGACTTTGTGTGTCCAGAGAGATTATTCGTCACGGTACAGTCTGTTGGCAATTGTCCTAGGCCTCCTTTCTATTTGCAGTAAGATTTATTTAGTGCATGGAAGACATAACCTGGCCCCCTAGATTTATTCCAGACCAGCATTCATGGAGCTCACATGTTCTGTATATGTAAGGACAAAGGTTTAAGGCCAGCCTTTATAGCTGATCTCTATGCAAAACCCTTCAAAATAAATGAAGAACAATATGATATTATATATATGGAATTAAATTTTCACTCCTAGCTAAAAAATATTCGTAGTTTTTCAGATTATAATATAATTTTCTCAAGGCTTGTTGAGCCTTCTCTTAGGTGTTTAGCTCTTCGTATTGTGGAAGTTAAAATGTCAGTTTGCTACTGGTATAAAAGCCAAACATCGATGACTTTGCCAGTGCAATGCATGCCATGTTCAATGGAATTCCAATAGCCTCGATAAACTGATTGCGCAATCATACTGAGATCCCTGCCCTTACGTTTCATACCTCTGCTCCCTTATTGACTATTGTAATGTTAAGCTGCATTCCCCACATCATTTGTTTTCCCTTTGCGTATATACTGCACACAGGGAACAGGTGCACCTTAACAAACAGGAATAATCTCTCCAAATAGATGTGCACAACAAAACTGTATAAATATAACCTTGTGTTCATGTGAACACCAAGAATAATTCAAGTCAGAAAAGTTGGCTGGTATAGGCAATTTTTTTTTCTTTTACTCTTGCACTGAGAAATTGTTTTAACATTACAGTTCAGAGTGTTTCCTGGTTCCCAGCTTTCTTGTTCATTGTGCGTGTAAATTCTCTGTCATATTTTATTATAGTGTATTTGTTTTATAATATGCCGGCATACAGATGTGCGCAAGCAAAATACAATGGCTGGCAAAAAAAAAACCATCCGATTGGTCTCAGGGGATAGAGAGTCATTAAAGGGTGTATCAATGAAACTAACAGAAAATCTGAAATCTCATTACCTTTGACTTCCCCAAGTACTCACACTATGCATGCATTCACTGATTCCTTAAAGCTGGCCTGCCATGCAACAGTGCAAAATCCAATGCAGCAGGGTAAAGATTGAGTAGCAGTGTGTGTAGGGCTATTGTCACATAAATCTGTCATGAGAAATATCTGTATAATGCTCCTCCTTCCTTCCAGGTATATGAAATACTATAAGCAGAGCAGTGATTGTAAACTATATGTGAACATGAGAAATGTACTAGAAACCATATAAAAACAAAAAAGCGCCACGGGCAATCGCTCCTCAGAGAGATATAGTGATGGGCATGCTGCAGGATGCTGCCCCACTACAGCCAGGGGAACTGTGGAGTCTGGAAAGAAAGCAAGAGCGGGCGCCTTTCCTGGTGCAGATACATTTAATTCAGATAGTCATAACAATGAAAAAGGTACTCACAAACATGATAGGATAAAAACCATAGGATGGTGGGTAAAAGGCAGGCAAGTGGACATCAGCAAAACAGTTCCAATGTGCGATCATAGAGATTAACGTTGACGCTTCATCAGAACATAGTGCCCTCCTTCCTCGGTATTATCTTAAAGGTATGTCTGGCCAATCCCAGTCCACCCAGTGTCCAGCTCCCTCACATTCACATTATGGTACTCTTCCATACACATGTTTTTATATACATTTTTAGCTCATCCCCTACTACTCCCTTCTCCAGAGTGTCATTCATCTTCTCCCCCCTTCCTTTCCATAGCAATGCTTATTTCCTCTGCCTTCCATCTTCATAGTGACTTGCCTCCATCTCCCTCTCCAAAGTGGTGCTCCTCTACTCCAACTTCTATTTCTATAGTGGGCACTCCTCTCCTCAGTGGTTCTCATCTCTGCCATCTTCCCTCTCCATGATGACACTACTCTCTTTTGCCTCCTATCTCTATAGTGGCACTCCTCTCTTGCACCTTCCCTTTCTGTAGCGACACCCCTCTCCTCTACCTCCCCCCTTCACAGTGGTGCTCATCTTCTCCATCCTCCTCTCCATTATGAGGTTTATTTCCTTTACCTCTCCTCTCCATTATGATGTTCACCACCTCCACCTCCCAACTCCATACCGGTGCTTATCTCTTCCAGCTCCCTCTCCATAGTGATGGTCATCTCCTCCACCCCTCTCTCTAACCCCCTCTCCATAGTATGGTTCATCTCCTTCACAGTCCCCCTCTATAGTGGCAATCATCTCCTCCCATTACCTTTCTCCATAGTGGCACACTCTCCTCCGCCTCTCCTCTCCAAAGTGGCCCTTATCTCCTCTGTACCCCTTTCCACTGTGTAGCTCACCTCTACTGACTACTCTTTCCATAATGGCACTAATCTCCTCTGGCCCTTCTCTTCTTAGTGGTGCTCATCTCTTCAACCCCCCCTTCCACAAAGGCACTCCTCCATCCCTCGTTGCATAGTGGTGCTCATCTTCTCTCCCTCCTTTCCCCTCTCAATAGTGGCACTCAGCTCCACCTTTTTGTAAGTCATAATATATGCAAAATAAACCATAAAATATTAGCACTATACCATACTTTTCAATGATATACTATACGATACTATACTATGCTATGCTATACTATAGTATACTATACTATTCAAAGCTATGCTATACTATAGTATACTATACTATTCAAAGCTATGCTATACTATTCAATGCTATGCTATACTGTACTATGCAATGCTATGCTATACTATTCAATGCTATACTATTCTATACTATACAATGCTATGCTATAATATACTATTCAATGCTATGCTATACTATACTATGCAATGCTATACTATACTATACCATTCAATGCTATACTATACTATACTATTCAATGCTATGCTATGCTATACTATACTATTTAATGCTATACTATACTTTACAGTAAAACACACTATGGGGAATTCATCAAATGTGGAGCAGGCAAAATCTAGGAGCAACTGTGCATGTCAACTGCTCCAGATTCAGTCTGCTCCAGTTTTCATAAATTCCCCTCACTTTGTTTTGACCTGACTTTACTTTATTAATTATTGTGTGCAGTTCATAAGCCTGTTTTTAAATGTAAAGGGATACAGTGAACCTGTCCTTTACAAACATAAGCTTAAATTTGCACTATAGTAGGTAGTCCTCAGTTTATATTCTGCCATCTTGTCAGTGCATGGTAGATGCTCCGTTTTACAGCGTGGCACAACAGATTGTGATTGAAAAGGAAAGGGCAGCTCATCGATCTTCTTTTGAAGAGCCAGAACAATGAATGCTGCTGGCAGGTGTTCAGTGATCAAAATGTATTGGAGCAAATTTTAAGGTCACAGCTTTTTACTGCACTTATTGTTTCTCCCTGTCTGGTGAAAAATGCCTGAGGATTATGATGGAAACCAGGCTTGGTGAATATTATCTTTTCTCTTGCATTGGTAGTTGCTGTGTGTTAGACATCTGTAAAAGTGATTCAACAGACTAAGAGAGGCACATGAGACTTCATCATTCTTACTATGCCCTGGCCTCCTGACTTACTTTAAAAAGAAAAACACAAAAGTCAGATTCATTGTTCTGTTTCTTTTTTCAAGGCAATAAAAAAATGTATAATTCTTGTACAGCCACTAAGTTGCTAAATGCAACATGGACACATTTCCTGACGTATTAATTACTTTTTCCCAAAAACAGGAGCTACGGAATGGAACATTTCTATGGAAAACATTGGTGAAATAGTTATGAAGCATATGGGTCATGTTGTACCACGCTGTGACCCAAACATTAGTTTGCAGAACTCTCACTCAGTGGATATACTTTAGTGGATGACCTTGCTTTGTACACTGACAAATGTTTGGTTTGAGTTTATCATTCATATAACTCTGTGAACAGTCTTCAGTGGATGGCCTGGCTTTGCATTCTAACAACAGCATGGTGTGAGATTATAACACATCTCGCTCTGTGGACAGTCTTCAGTTGATGACCTGACTTCGTACACTGACGATGGTGTGGTGTGAGTTTATCATACTCTTGATGGAAAGACAGTTGCAAAGACAAGCAGTGATGCTCAAAGCACTACATATGTGCCACCTCTGTTCTGAAAAAATAAATGTTATTGGTTGCTCTGCAGAACAATCTTGTTGACAATCTTGTTGACACTTTGAATGGGTTCTACTGACCAATACATTTTTACTGGGTTTTATGAGTAAGGTCCTTATAGTGATGACATGGCATACATCTCTTGGTTAAGCATCTTTGAAACCCCTTAAATGGCTGTTTTATTAATTGTAAAGTTTGAATTCAATGTCTGAGACTTGTCAAATCTCGCTTTTACAGGTTGTGAATCAGTGCATCAGAAGGCACCATCGGTGAAAGCCATTCTTCTTACAGGACCAGCGGGTGTTGGAAAAAAGATGCTGGTGAATGCTATCTGCAATGAGACTGGAGCAAACTTGTTTAATTTATCTCCAGCCAATATAGCTGGGAAATACCCAGGCAAGAGTGGACTGCAGATGATGCTGCATATGGTGCTGAAGGTTAGTTTGCCCCTAGGAAACATGTTGTGAATGTTGTTATAAGATCCATTCTCCATACACTTACTGATTAGCATTATACAATTTTACAGAAATGTTTTTTTCTGATAAAGTTTTCCTGACAATATTTCAGTATTGAACAGTATTCAGAACTCTCATCCCCACATAGTGACACCAACCTCATCCAGAACCTTCCACCTCCGACAGAGTCCCTAAGCCCCATCCACAGCTTTTTACCCCCTACAGAGCCTCCCAGCTCCATACAGAGCATTCAAGGCCTGCACAGGGCTCCCCAGTCTCATCCATAGACCTTAGCAACCTTAGAATTCTATTTTATTTTTCCATCCACTAACACCAGGGGGCTGTCAGTACATCTCTGAAATACATGCATATTTCCCCATGTTATATTCTTTTCCTTTAAAAGGTATGGATGCACTGATACTGATACTAGTATCGGGCCAATACTGAGTATTTGGGCGAGTACTCGCCCCCAATGCTCCCGATGCCCATCCCGATACCAGAACTTCCAGTATCAGGAAGCCGGACGGTGAGTCATTATACGCTGCCTGGCTTCCTGATTGGCCAGGAAGCCGACTCCATACTCCCTGGTCACCAGGAAGGCGGGGGAAGGCGGGGGGCGGGTAATGATCACTTCCCGGCTGATTGGTCGAGAAGCTGGGCGGTGGGTCATTTACCCACCCCCCGATTCCCTGATTGGCCAGAAAGCCAGCTCTATGCTTCAGGTAGCATAGAGCCAGCTTCCTGACCAAACAGAAAGCTGGGCTCCGTGTAATGACTCGCAGCCTGGCTTCCTGATTGGTCGTGAAGCTGGCCAATCAGGAAGCCCGGCGGCGAGTTATTACCTGCCCCCCCCCCCGCCTTCCTGATTGGCCAGAAAGCTGGCTCCATGTTTTCTCGTCACCTGGTGACGAGGGTGCATGGAGACGGCTTCTTGGCCAATCGGGGAGCTGGGTGGTGAGTCATTACACGCCTCCTGGCTTCCCGGGTAATCAGGAAGCCGGGCAGTCAGTCATTACACGCTGCCCGGCTTTCTTAATGGGAAAAAATATTGGTACATGTACTTGATACCGAAAAATCTTAATTATTATTAAACATTTTATTGTAGCACATGTAACACCCGGAGAGCATTACAATACATTACACAATATATCAGTGCGTATGGATTCACATATGGAGTAGATGCTGTAACGTCATGCAGTCATTTCAGGGTAGATTCCAGAGTATGAAGGGGATGTTTATTCAAAGGCTTATTTTGCCAAGTGTAACATTTTTGGATAATTAATTAGCCCAACGTAAACCTAGAGCAGCTGTGTGCTTCATCATCAGCAAATACTTCTGTTGATTTATTATCTACCAGCATGTACCAGGATTCCAGAACAAGGGGGTGCAGTGACATCACTGGGCTAAGGGTGTCAGAGGAGAACCACACTTTCTGACATAAGCTTTGCAGGAAGAGATGGAATGTAAACATGAAGAAAGTAGACAATGGCAATAAGGGAATGCCAGACAAAGCAGAGAAATACAAACCTGTATTCTTTTATAAACTCTGAATGCTGGAAATAAAGTTACAGTGATAACAGCAAAAAATCTGCAGTGATCTGTTTGAAAAGATGATTAAACTCATTCCTAAAAATGTTAGTACAGGGTATGTTGAATACCTAAGTGTCACGGAGCTGTGCAATCACTCCACTGTCATTGAGGTGAGACACTCTGCACAGCAAGTCTCTAAGGGCTTAAACCACATGGGGGATGTTATTGTCATGAAACTCAACTATTTAACCACTTGTTACCAATCACCCAATTGGCAACATATTGGTTTTAGCATGTTGCAATGCCATGACTACCAGGGAGAAGTTAAGGTATATCTAAAGCAAAAACAATTTATTATTTATAGACAGAGTAGAAAATATTGTTTTTTAAACCTGTACAGTTTCTTTTTTAGTGCAGTCTGTGTCCCAGTGGGGAGAATTCCTCTCCCCAGAGACACAACAGAAAGTGAGAGGAAATCTCTCCAAAATGTGTGCAACTATTGTAAAGTAGTCACATCCTGTTCTAGTGACAACTTTAACATTTTGGATTTCCCATCACATTATATCTTGGTAACAATAGTGACCAGGACAAATAGAGAGAACGTGTCTCCCGAGCAGACACAGATGGCAATAAAACCCATAGAGGAGGTTCAATACTCCCCCACCTGACAAAGAACTACAGAAAGCATATTAAAGGAGAACTATGGGGTTAGGGCTTTTCCAGTAACGGGAGGACACAAACTAGCGTCCTCCCTTCACCCAAAGAGACACTTGCCTCATAGTTCTCCTTTAAATGTAGATACACTTTAAATTTTGCAACAGCATAAGCCTGAAATGTCTTATATAGTTTAGTCCTTAATTTTTCTTTCACCCATCCCACCTCTGGAGCATCCTTACCAAGATTTTAAGGTCTACTCTGGTCATCATCCAAAATGGCATTACATGATCAAGATGGTTGTAAGACACCAATTTATTGACACCCAACAACACAGGCACAATAAAACACCTTCCATCCTAAATTATGTTGGCAGGAGTCAGGGAAATACCTCAGCTGATGTGTAGTTCTGGGGTTTCCCCATTCTTACTGTATATTGCCAGACGGGGCAAACATATTGGAGTCACCTTAATATTTAGGCAGTATTAAAAGTAACACTTAATAACATGTCTGTCCCGCACCTATTGGTAAAAACTAAGAATTGGGGAACTTCTTTAACATATGAATTTGTAAACATGGAATTAGTCTATAAAGCAATGCTAATCAGGAACCACAACAGAATTCTTTTTTATATTAACATATGTCTTTTTCTTTTAAATATTTGTGTGTACCATAAAATCTATAATATTATAAACTGCCTGATATTTGGGTTGTTTTGGAATGTGCATTTCCCAGTGTGAAGGTGCTGTAGATGAAACACACGTGCTTCACTATAGCAATGATGGAAGAACATCATCTAGTGGTGATTTTAGTACATAGCATGCTGGGAACCTCAACATGCATTGATGGATGATGTGTGTTTATTTATATAGCACCACAATATACACTACACTTTCCTGTGGAAAAAGCAAGTACACAGCAGCTAAACTTTTAACACAGAAGGAAAAGCACTCATTACAGAAGACAGACTTTATTAAGTACAGCCTATAGTAATCAAATCTTTATTTTTGGCTAAGATTTACAGGAAAGCTGGAACAGGGACTTTTCTTTATATTTTGCTAATAACCACCTACTGTGAAATATTATATTTATATGGGTTTCCTAACTACAGGTGGCCCGTCAGCTTCAGCCATCAGTCATATGGATTGATGATGCAGAGAAGACTTTTTACAAGAAAGTACCAAAAACAGAAAAGCAGGTAACTGTATTCCTACATTCTTTTTTTATTTTTTTATTTCTTTATTGACTGACAACGTGCGCATTACACTTAACACCGAAATGCTACATTCTTGTCATCCAATTAATTATATAACCCATTCCATCACCCAGATCTATGCCTCATTCAGAACTGAGCACTGGAGTGTTGTACAATCTACCATGCAGGATGCACAGTGTTAAACATCTGACTATTAGCTATGATGTATGATTTATTTGCATGGCTGGTGGTGTTGTGGTCCAATCAATTCCTGATTTAGTTTTTTCCTGCCACATTGTACTCTACAAACTCAATTTTAGGTTCAGTTATCAGCAGATATTTCTAATTGAAGTCATGTTTTTTTTGTATGTATTTTTGTGAAGTAGATTTATAGCAATGACATGTGTTAGTTCTGCTTCATTGATTTGCTGCCCCCTGGTGGTTTAACAAACATATTATAATGTAACCACCGTATCCTAAAAAATTCAAGGGAAGATCATGGAGTGTCTTTTAGTTGTATCTAAGGCTATAATTCACACTGTACATATAACACATATAACTTAACCCACTCTACTTTATTTTGCTTTTACAGTTAGATCCCAAGCGATTAAAAAAGAGCTTTCCTAAATTTCTGAAATCTATAAAAGCAGAAGATCGGATTGTAGTTGTGGGTACCACTCAGCGGCCATTTGATGCTGAAGTGAAACCCTTCTGTAAAATATATAAGAAGATTATATTGGTGCCTAGGCCTGATTATGCAGCACGTCTAGGTGAGAAGCTGAATCTATTCATTTTCCTCTTTTTTCATTATTGCACAGATGTGTCACTGTCAAGAGGTAGGGATGTTTTTACCACAACCAATATTTTAGTCCCTCCTTTATGGTTGATATATGCAAATGAGTATCCAGCTAAATAGACAATTGAATTACATATGTGTGATTATTTGACTTGCAAAATATCTGTGGTTCTGATCGGGTAGTCTTGTAACTAACACAACCCTGACACACAATATATGCAAAGTCAGCACTACTTTCTTGTCCATTGAGGGACACAGGAAATCTTTCAGGTAATATTGCCACCTACAAGAGGAGTGAACACTGATATACAAAAAAATGTACGCCAGGCAAGGATACCCCCCCCCCAAAAAACCCCCCCCCATCCCTTCCCTTACTACCAGCATGCCTGAGGTTTTTTTGCTAGTGTACTAGAAGGAGAAACATCTTCTCTGCAGCTCTGCTATGTGGAAGACTTACTTATTTTTGTTACCACTTTTTTTTCTCACTTATGTTTCTTCTTAAATCAGGACTCTTCTGATTGCTGCTTAGAGCTTTTGTCTTGCATTGCCACTATCCTGTGTGACCATCCAGGCATAGTCTGGAAGTGACCTTCAGGTGCTGGTTTGCATGTCAGATGCTTTCCAGACTCTGTTCTGGTAAAATTTAGTCAGGGAGTGCTGTCAAGGCCAGAGCCACTGGCTTTTTTGAGCACTTGCCAGTAGAAGACTGATTCTCTCATACCTTGTAATGGTGCTCTGGCTTCTCATTACACCATCTCTAGGTGGCTACGGCAGACTATCACCCAAGCTTATGTTCTCAAGGTTAAGGTACCGTTCTTTCCTGTTAAGGCACACCCATGCACTAGATCTGTGAACGCTTCTTGAGCTTTTTCACATCAAAGTGGTTCCCAGATTTGCAACGTTGCCACCCAATCTTCTTTTCACTTGTTCCTTACCAGGTGGTTGTTTTTGCAGCCTAATCTAATGCCAGATTCCAACATAAGGTCCTTCAGGTGGCTCTTTCACCTGCAGGCAGTCCACAGCTCTATGTTGTTTTTTTCTTGGGCCTTATAGCATTTGTTTGGTGTGTTGTCCAACCCCCAGTTGGACTGGTTTTGGACATCCCGAAGGTGAAAGTCTTCCTGTGTCCCTCAATAGATGAGAAAGAAAATTTCTAGAAGGAATGGGTTATTCTGGAATGGCCTACAGTGTCACGATCTGGATCAGGCTCAGAGTCCAGTAGCTGAAACAGCAGGCAAGGTCGTAGTCAAACAGGCCGGGTTCGATACACAAGCAGACGGTAGTAGTATAGGAGCAGGCAGAAGCATAGTCAGAGATCAAGCTGAGGTCAGTAGCCAAAGGTATCGGGTATGAAGTAGAAGACGATGAGAGTAGTCGGTGAATCAGCAGCCAAAAGTCGGTGCACGGGTAGTAGTATGAGCGGATTGTATCACAGAAGGAGCAGGAAGCAAGATATTGGCAGGAGCACAATAATCTGGCAAACAGGAAGTGCAGAGGCATGGCTTAAATAGGAAGTTCAAAGGAGGAGCAAGGAGTTCAGAGTTCAGCAGAAACTAGGTTTAACTGACTACACAGGAGATCAGGCACAGAGCTATCTAAGGTTCTAAGGTGGCTCTCCAGGTAGAACCACTGCCAGCTACAGCAGAAGCCCTGGGTTCAGATCTGGTTCCTGACATACAGTTTTGTTGTTTGCCGGTCTCGAATCTACCTGTAGGTAGCAGTATAAGGTAGAAGGCTGCAGGCAGAGGATGGATCTCCAGGAAAAGGAAACTGTCTATTAGGACCTGTCCATAGGAACTGACATGTGTTATTTTTAATTGTGACTGCCTTTTCCTAATACTGTGCATAAGTAATTTGTATCTGTGATGCCTTTTTTCACAGTGTTGTGGAAGCAGCTGATCTCTCTACGATTAGACAGTGCCCTGTCTCTAAACTTCAGTGCCCTAGCTAAGATCACGGATGGATTTACCCCTGGTCATATGATGCAAGCAGTGGATACAGTGCTTAATGAAAGAAGGATCAGGCATCTTTCTAGCAAACCCTTGGCAGCTTCAGAGTTTCTGGGTTCCTTGTCCAGACAGGAGCCAGTGTACAAAGAAGAAGAGGAGGCTTTCAAGGTGCGGATCATAGAATGCCTGTGTGGTGACTATTCAGAACATGACTTCTATGATAATTCCTTAAAATGAGCGCAGTGTTTCCTGACCTAGTGTACAAGTACCCCCATATGTACTTGGCAGCAAATTTAGGGATACTTGAAAATATTGTTGTATTGTGGAAAAAAGCTGTGGCAGTGAGTAGTCAAGGACTTAATTCTATGTGTTTGGTCCATGGAGTAAAAGGCTGTTGTGGGGGGAATCAGGGACTAAATTGTGTCCAGAAGGTCCACAGAGTAATCCCACGACCATGTCTTTTGACATTTACTCTATAGTTCTAGCTGCTGCCACCTCTATCAGTCCCTGGCTGAGTGATATGCACTCTGCTTCTCTTAAAGCTGAAGTAAACTGCTGTGGGGTACTGCTGACACTTCTAAGTTCCTAGTCATCCTCTTCAGCCATTGGATGGCCAATGATGATGTAACTCCTGGCATCAGGCCATTTCACGGGATCTTAGATATGTCAAGAATGGGCAGAATGTGTACACTGCATGGTGCATGTGCAGTACAGTGTACACAAAAAAAAAATTGTGGAAGAGAGGAAGAATTTTTTTGGCAGAAGAGACTTTGCATGTCTCTTCTGCCAACAATCCCTACCTCCCAAAAATATTTTTTTGTTTTACTGACTTTACTTCTGCTTTAAGAACGTATGCTGCCTTCTGCAATCTGGCGCGAACATGAATCGGGGTAGGACAGAGACTGTGAGTGCTAAGTCCTGAGCCCTGAGTGCAGAGATCTGAGTCCTGATTCCTGAGACTTAGGCCGCATTCACACATAGTGTTTGTAGTTCCCGCACGGCTTTCCGTGCGGAAGACCGTGCAGGACAAAAACGCTGATATTTTTAAATCTGCACGGATGCCGCTCGCTTGCAGCTAATAAATATCCGCGAACATGCGGAATCTGCCGGATTATCGCACTTGGACTATTTCGGGAGTGCATTAAATTCCTTGTGTAGAGCGGTTCCGCATGTATCCGTACAGCTGAATATGCGCGGACAGCCGCTCAGGTGTGAATGGAGCCTTAGGTCCTGAGACCCTAATCTTAAGACCTGGGTCCTGAGACCTGAGTCATTGGTCTGGAGTCCGTAGTCTCAAGTCCAGTGACCTGAGTTCTAAGACCTGAGTGATTTCTGAGGCACATCAGAGACAACCCAACCCACCTCTCCTCAGGGTCACACAGGGTCACAAAGGGTCCATTCATGTGCCTCCATTAGATGAGACCTAGTCCAATCTGCAGCATCATTCCCCTCCACTACAATCTCCATGGTGCACTGAAAGTTTTTGTATGGAGGGATGCCTAGCCCTCCAACCTACAGCAGCCCCAAAACAGTCCCTTTATTTATAGTCACATCCCTTATTACAGTATACTTCTATTTGCGATCCTGGAGTTTATATATCACCTATCCTTTACAACACAGGTAGAAACGCAGTGTATTGATGAATTATCCTTAATAGCAGTCTACTATTCCTAATGTGTGTTTAAAAGGTGACACAATGTGCAGATTTTATTATGACATTTACATTGTCTTACTATACCTTATATCAAGGTCCAATGCAGAATTTTCCTCATTGTCTTTCCCTATCACAGAGCTGGTACTCCAAGACACCCCTTGGGAAGAAGAGAATTAAAGCAATGCCTGGTGCACAGGAAGCCACCGGAAAAGAAAAAGGAAAAAAGAAAGGCACAAAGAAAGGAAAGAAGAAATGAAATTGTTAATGCTTTTTACTGAAGGAACCTGGCATCAGGTCACACTGGTATATTTATGACGAGTGCCACACTGTGGGGCCATGATTCCCTAATACTTTGTATTGAATTTTGTAAATATCTCATCTTTTATGTATCAAATTGCAATAAAAACATACAAAAGTGATGGGCTGCATTTAGCTGTCCAAATGTAACATTCTTCCATCTAATGATTACACATATGTTTTGCTAAAGTAGTCCTACTTGTGTATGTGTCCAAATATGGTTATAAAAAAGTATAGCTAAATACTGTGCATCTTTACCTATGTTAGGCTGGGTTCACACCTGGGCGTTTTTCAGCACTGATCGAAGCGCTGAAAAACGCTTAGCAAGTGAAATCCCATAATTTCCTATGGGCATGGTTCCCACCTGGGCGTATTTCAGCGCGTGGAAACGCGCTGAAAATTGCCCTACGCCCAAACAAGTACAGGAGCTTCTTTTGGGGCGTATTTCCGCGCGTGTCCATTGGTATGGGTATCCGCGATCCCTGCTGTGTCCTCCGGCCGCTGCCGTCTTCCGAGTTCCGTCCCTTGTGAGCGTCCGCTTTGCAGGTGGGCGGAACCGGCGGGAGGTTTGAAAGTTTAAAAAAAAAAAAGATAGAGAAAATAAAGGAAATTTTTTTTAAATCATACCGCCAGGGAGGTATAAAAACGAGCGTCGAACGCGTGTTTCACTGAACGAAAAGAACGTGCTAAAAAACGAGCTGAAAAAACGTGCCTATAGTAACATCCAGGTGTGAACCCAGCCTTAGGCTTCACTAACTGGATAGCACTTTTTAGCTTCTGCCATTTGTCTCTCAAGTAATTCACACGAGTACATATAATAATTGTTACAATGTATTTCAGAATGCCAATGCTGCAGCAATACCAAAATACAAGAAATCACAAAGTTCATAGATTCTCCCCATAGTCACTATCTATATGTCAGATAGCACAGTTAGGATCATTATATAACTGAGAAATGTTCCTTAGGAATTTTAGGCCATGCGATGGCACCACAAAATTTCAACCTTTCCAAAAGGATTCATCCTGTGTATGTTTACATCTATCCCATCCCATATCCCATTCATCTACATATTGCAGCAGGAATGTATATTTATCAGATCTGGCATTCTTTTCCAATCTTCAGGCATCCACTGCTAAATATTTCATGGCAACTGCAGACTGATTATGTAGTTTGTAGAAGACAGGCCTGGAACCCCAGCACTGGTCTTCTGCAGCTGTAGCCCACCCTCTTCAACTGTTGACATGTTGTCTACTGTTGTACAGAATGGTCATTTAAGCACTTGTGCACCATCTATGTGTTTAAACAAGTCTGACCTTTCCCCTCTGATTTCTCTTTTTGCCCACAAAACTGCTGAGCACTGGCTGTTTTTTTTTTTTTTATTGAAACTGTAAAACATACAAAGGGGAATTTATCAAAACTGGAGCAGACAAAATTTGGAGTAGCTGTACATGGCGACCAATCAGCTCCTATCTTTAATTTTTTAAATCTTAACTGAACAAACTAAAGAGAGAAGCTGATTGGTTTCCCTGGGCAACTGCTCCAGATTTTGTCTGCTCCAGTTTGATAAATTCCCCTCACAGTATTTGAAAAACCCATAACTCAACAGTTACTAAAGTGCTGCAACCACCTTCTAGTACAGTTATCCTTTAAATGCCTGAATGTCTAAGATTTACAATTACCCATCCGAGATCCGAGATCTTTACTGTGGACCCTGCTGGGACTCACACAGCTACTGCTGCAGAAGTCTCCATTCATTCCTATGGAAAGACCATCTATTATTTGTCTTAATGGTGGACAGCCTATGCGTAGGAACAAATGGAGATTCTTACCACATGCACGGAAGAAACAGAACCAAATGAGGATATTTCAGTGAAGAGGCTTGTGTGGCTTGCCAGCAAACCACACAGCAAAGACCTCAGAAGATCAGGGACAAGTATGTATAGGACTTTGTTAAGTAACTGGGGAGCGGAGGGGGACATTTTAAGAATAATTGTACAAAAGTAGCAAAATAACCTTTAACATGCTTAGGTGACACATATTTCCAAAGCAAATGTTAGCTTGAGCATATCAACTTCTTGTATCTTGCATCTGCATCCTTTATATATTGAGTTGCCGCCACAGGATTCGCTGTTTTGAAATTTGCATTTAAGAGAAGGTATACCTAATAAAATGATCACTGAGTGTATATATAATAAATATATATATACTGTATATATATATATATATATATATAGAGAGAGAGAGAGAGAGAGAGAGAGAGAGAGAGAGAGAGAGATTCTCTTTCTTTCTCAAAGCAAATTTGTCAAAAAGCTAACTTCTGACTCAAACTCATGACTGCATTTTATCTACAAGGTACTGACATCATTTCAGCAGGCTGAACCTCACTACCGGGGAAGTGGTATACTGGCTATGAGTCAGAGAATGATTGCTCCCAGTATGTGACAGGTTCCCTTTACATTTCCAGCAGCAAAGCTTTGCCTTTTCAGCAATTATTAGAATTGTTTTCCTTAATCCTTTTTATTGCAAGAATATGTACTGGTATAAACTAAGAGACACAAATAATCTAATAGAGAGACTACTAAATAGTGCACTTCATATTAAATATATCCTATTACTTATATACACATAGAAACTGGAAAGATGCAATAAATTGTGAATGCCGTGGTGGACAGTACATGACTAACAGAAGGTAGGCCGGAAAGATGAAGGCTCAGTAGCACGACTACACCTGATAGGTGGTAGGATTGCTGTGATTACAGGGTGCTTCCCATGCACAGGAAGGGCTGACACAGTGATATATGAATACAGATGTGTCCTTATTGTTCAATGTCCTTTGCACTGTAATTTGGCAAGAGATGGGAGGACCATCCCCTCCTTCTCTGTCAGCTGTACTAATGAGAGAGGAGTGGGAAATAGGTAACTGCAAGGACAGAAAAGCCAGGTGCTTGGAGCACAGAACTATCAGTTTATTCACCCCAGCATGCACAAGACTTGTTACCACAAACAGCCAATTCACTATAATACACAATGACCAATAAGGTATTCTAGACTTCAGCAACAAGCAGCAAACTGTTTGACAATCGATTAGAGACTAGAAAAATTACTGAAGTGTCCAAATGCACCCAAACCCGGTGATAGATTTGTACTAAAAGTTCAGGCATTATTTTTCTACCGATCAATTCTTTTCCTGTAGAGGAAGCAGAGTGACCCTTAGCCTGTTGCAAAAAATGTCTGAATTCTTGCAGCTAACAATGAAGACTTTCATTGTAGCCAAAGGTTTGGTATTGAATATTCTGGAAGTGGACTTTCAGTAACTCTTGGCCTCTTTAAGATGGCTTAATTGGTGCCACCCTCCTCCTGAAGAAATGCATACCTACCGAATTCCAATGGGCTCGGCCTCCACTGTTGGTTGTTGTCCTGTGGTAGACATCTCCTTCTCCTCTCTGCGCCTGCTCATTACATTCCAATTTACTTCTACGGGGCCGATTTCCAGGTAAGGAGACTAAGGTAGTTGTGCCCCATATAAGTCAATGGAGATGTTCTGCATAGTCCCGCCAGCATTTCCAGGCACTAAGGAACGGGGGCCTTTTAGAACCCCTGAAATACATTGGCTTATCCTTTCAGCAACTCACAATGAACAAAATCTTCATGGTCTCTCAATACATGGTCTGGCACTCCTTTCTCTGTACGCCTTGGATTTCACCTGAAGTGCCCTCTAGCAGACTACTGGTATCTGTGATCCACCTAACCTGAGCAACTGTATTGCACAAACTAGATGATACCATGTTCTTCAAATGGAACTGCTTTGGATCCAGCATCTCTCATCTTCTTTGTTGTTCATTCAGTGCTTCTTGAGTTCCAAATAGGTTAGGCCCCGTTCACATATAGCGAATTGTCGCGCGATTTCCGCCGCGATATCGCGCATTTTTGCCGCGCGATATCGCGAGAAGTCGCCGGCCAATGTTATTCAATGGAGCTGTCTTAACTCCATGTCGCGCGTCGCTCGTCGCGGTCGCAAGTCGCTTCTACCGGACCCTTTTTTCGGCGGATTTTGCGCGATTTTACTTTTTTCCTATGGAGCCCGACGGGGAAGGTCGCGCTACCGTCGCTGGATCGTCGCTGGAACGTCGCCCCGAAAGTCGCGCTATCCCGGCCGTGCGGATCCGCTGCAAAAGGTATGTCGCTATATGTGAACGGGGCCTTAGTGAAGCACCTTAAGATAAAAACAAAGTGTGATTTATAGATTTGGTTCCGCTTCTTATAATCTACCCAGTACTACATGTTTACTTTTGGTTGCTGATAATCCATCCATCACACTGAAATACTTACCCAGCAGTAAATTAAACCTACCATAGGCCCCGGGCTGTTTTTAATTCATGGGCTCCCTGACAGTTTATCTGGATTTTGTATAAGAATCAATGTACACAGACATTTGAGTTTTTCTTGTAAGATGGGTTTGAGAAACAATTCTACAGGATTTGGAAGAAGGTGATTGGATTTTGAATTGGATCTTTTGCAGTGATGTACTGTGCAAATTACTTGTAATAGATAGTGGCAGATAATATGGAAACAATGCTTCCAGGTATAGGACACATGCTCATATATTAAGGGGCTTACTAAAGGATTTGAGAATGTTCACACAATAAATTATCCAATCATATGAAATGAAAATGCCTGGTTATGTATTCCATCTGCACATGATTGGATAATTGATGTGAATGACCACACATTTTATTGAGTGAACATTCTCGAATCCTTTAACAAATCAGCTTAAGTATTTATGATTGTTTGATCATGTTAGAGGAAGCTTTTTTTAGAGCAATGCAAAGGCCGTTCCCCTGAAAAAATAGTACAATAGTATGAAAGCTGAAAATGATCACTATAAAGACAATGAAGTGCATCACTTTTAAAGCATCCCCATGGGCCCCTCTGAAGCCTGGAGCCATAGGCAGCTGCCC